GAAATATAAATAGAGGAGTGCAATTACGAATTTCTAGTGGAATGATTTGTAATTTATTATGGTAAGAATAATTTAAATTAATTATTTGGAATTATTTTCATAATAGGAAGCCTCGGTAATTAATTTTGTGGTCCCTACCGTGCCCATATTTATCTAGAACTCAGAATTTATTGTAAAGGGAAAAAGGAGAAGTATGTGTCTTTCTCTATTCTAAGGAAAGGGAGAAGTATGTATCTTTCTATGTTCTAAGGCAAGGGAGAAGTATATCACTTTTTCTATTCTAAGGAAAGGAAGAAGGACATGACTTTTTCTTTTCTAAGGAAAGGGAGATGTACATGTCTTTCTATTCTAAGGAAAGACATGGTATTCCTTTTCCCTGGACTAAGAAGAAATCCCTATAATTAGGAATTCTTCTAACCCTTGAAAGTATAATTTTTTTTTCCATAAAATACTCGTCCACCCAAGTATTGAGAGGGTTCAGAAGTGAACTTGGGATCACTGTAGAAGACCGTAGAATTGTGGTCTAGTTTGTGGACTAGCTTATGAATTTGCTTGAAGTTTCTAGCTTGTCGACTAGCTTGTGGATTCACTTGAAGGTATCGGCTCACGCTTCAAGAGGTAATTCTGAAATTAAATTCAGAAAGTTTATATGCCCTAACATGATTGTACTTGTTCTAGTATAAACAATGTGTTGTCTATTATTCATGTAAGTTGTATGATTTTGGTATGCTTCCACTGTGCATATAGTTTTCCAACAAACACATCAAGTTGGGTCAACTTGAAGTACTGTCAATAGGCAATGGATATTGTTGATTCATACGAATTAAACTTTAGTTCTTCCGATGGAAAGATTTGTAATCTAAATTGTTTAAAGCTCAAAGTTAGCAACGTTGCGATCAATAGTCAAGGGTGATTTTTGATTCATTTTAGTTCCTAGAATTGCAAAATTTATAATCTAAATTGTTTTAAGGCTCACTGTTGGGTGAAGTTGGGTTAAATGCTATTGAAGTGTAGGTCGTTCTTTTTTTACCTTTCATGATTCAGGATTTTTCATTATAAAATATTGTGTTAGTACCTTACTTTCCTTACTCAACACAATTTTAATACTTTACAAAGGAATAAATAGAATAATATGTTCCTTAGCAAAATTAGGGTGTTAGTATTCTAATAGTTTGTAGATTTAAAAACAATACATTAATTTTTTCTACTACAACAATAAAAATTAAGGAGAGAAAACGAAACCTACAATATCTTAGATTTTTTCTTTAGTTTTCTCCCTTTTTGTCTTAAGCAAAGTACAAAAATTGTTAAAGTATCCTCATCATTTAATACATGAAGATAAAATAAATAGCTGAGATAATCTCTAGAATAATCGACCAGTCATTAATTATTTTCATATAAAAAAGTACTAGAACCCACTTCAATTAATATGTGTATTTAAATAATACAAATATATATATTAAACATATATATTAGTGAATTAATATTTGATAATCTTTATGGAACAATAAAAATGCTAGTAGTATTACTAAATTTTGGCGTACGTCTTAACATAAAGTATCAAAATGCCTAAATTATAATTGATGAAAACTGAATCGATGATAATTAGAACTATTTCAAAAATTATCATTTATGTTATATTCAATTAATTAATTTTATTACCAATATAGTACGAATGATTTTGAATAAATGATCGAATCAATCCATTGCCACATAGATCATTAGCTATCTAAATAACCTATGAGAGAATAAAAAATTATAATTGGAGGGATCTCCCCTCTTTAAGTGGGCGGGCATCTTGAATTCCTTTTTTTTAAGACAAGAACCTTCAAAAGATTTCTTGATCAAATTAAGAACTTCTATATTCATATCTGTAAGATTTGGAGAAGATCTCACTTTCTCTACTCATTCAATTGTAATATTCACATACATCATATCATATATATATTATATATATATATATATATATAAAGGTGGGAATAAAAGAAGTTAAAAGTTGAATTACAATTTTACCCCTACTATAAATTAAAATGTTAACAAAGGAATAAATAGAATAATATGTTCCTTAGCAAAATTAGGGTGTTAGTATTCTAATAGTTTGTAGATTTAAAAACAATACATTAATTTTTTCTACTACAACAATAAAAATTAAGGAGAGAAAACGAAACCTACAATATCTTAGATTTTTTCTTTAGTTTTCTCCCTTTTTGTCTTAAGCAAAGTACAAAAATTGTTAAAGTATCCTCATCATTTAATACATGAAGATAAAATAAATAGCTGAGATAATCTCTAGAATAATCGACCAGTCATTAATTATTTTCATATAAAAAAGTACTAGAACCCACTTCAATTAATATGTGTATTTAAATAATACAAATATATATATTAAACATATATATTAGTGAATTAATATTTGATAATCTTTATGGAACAATAAAAATGCTAGTAGTATTACTAAATTTTGGCGTACGTCTTAACATAAAGTATCAAAATGCCTAAATTATAATTGATGAAAACTGAATCGATGATAATTAGAACTATTTCAAAAATTATCATTTATGTTATATTCAATTAATTAATTTTATTACCAATATAGTACGAATGATTTTGAATAAATGATCGAATCAATCCATTGCCACATAGATCATTAGCTATCTAAATAACCTATGAGAGAATAAAAAATTATAATTGGAGGGATCTCCCCTCTTTAAGTGGGCGGGCATCTTGAATTCCTTTTTTTTAAGACAAGAACCTTCAAAAGATTTCTTGATCAAATTAAGAACTTCTATATTCATATCTGTAAGATTTGGAGAAGATCTCACTTTCTCTACTCATTCAATTGTAATATTCACATACATCATATCATATATATATTATATATATATATATATATATAAAGGTGGGAATAAAAGAAGTTAAAAGTTGAATTACAATTTTACCCCTACTATAAATTAAAATGTTATAAATATTAAATTGTATCATTTTAATAAAAATGTTAATGACTTTTGCACTTCCCTAGATTAATTCCTAATTAAAATATCTAATTTAATAATATTTACCATCTATAATCTATATGTATATTTAATTTAATCATCATTATATATATACACACACACACATGGAACACTCCATTTTTGCGCACCGCGGAAGGGTTTTTCCAATTTAAGTGACGGTATTGATTAGGGATTATTTTTATTTTTTCTTGAAGTCGCCACTTGGAATTGAGTTATGGTGTTCCAAGTCACCTTTTTGTTTTAATCCCTAATCAAAAGGAAATGACTCTTAATTTTGGTCTGCAAACTAGAAATTCGGGTAAGGAATTCTATTGACCGAGGGGAAGTATTAGGCATCCCTCGAGTCCCGTGGTTCTAGCACGGTCACTTTAATTGACTTATACTTATCTTAATTTTTTTTTGATATATTATTACATGTCATGATTTGCTCATATTTATTTTATTGTTGAAATTTTATTGGTCTCCATTTAGATGCTGCATTCTTGGTCTTGACATTTAGAGGCATAAATGTCTTTTTCGCATCACACCTATTAACGTTATCCAAAAGTGTTATTTGAAATTAGTGAAATATAATTATATTATTGGACAAGGTGCGTCACGGCATCCTTGAGTTTATTTTAATTTCTCAAGAAAAAGATGTGTACCCACATTCTTAATCGAACAAATATTTTTAACGGGTCATATACCCATCCTAATGCTTACCTATTACTAGAAAGCTTAAGCGTATTATTAGTGACTAAATTATTTTTATACTATTTATATTCATGAATAGCTGAATAGCATTTAAATAAAAAAATCTTAAATCTTAAACAAATAAAAAGTTAATTTTCCATATTCAAATTCGATATAGATGCACTTACATTTTTAGTATACTTACAAGTTATGACAAAAGACATTAAAAATAAAAATTGTAACTCTTCATCTCTTAATTTTTCTGAAATAAACATGTTTTTGTATTAGATAAAGTTGATTAAACAAACTATCACAAAAATTCTTTCAGCCATTTGGTTGATTTTGGTTGGAAACAAGAGGTACATAATTGATAATAACATATGATACAAGATAAAATATAACGTATAATAAAACAAACAGAAAATATTTCAATATTCTTGTGTCAAAATTAAATACACATAATATTCGAGCAAACTTCATAACATTGAAATCAAGTATTATATAATCATGAAAATCAAAATATACAATAAAAATTAAATGGTATCTCTTGAGATAACCAATTCACGAAAAAGAAACAATCCTAATAAGGAGCCACAAATTCTAAACCACGAAAGCAAACCTCTAACTCAACCTCTATTTGTGAGTGAAAAAAATATAAAGTGGGGGTGATTTTTCTTTTCCTTGTCCGTGTGTTGTTGTTGAAAGGAAGACAAAAATGTTTGTTCTTCGTTTCTTTTCTATTGGCTGATGTTTGTCTATGTTCGTTTTTTTCTTTGGCGTCTGTATGTATACTAGGAGAGGTATGGCCCGTGCTTGCGTTTTGAATATATTGATGAAATTCTACTACAAACAAGTGAAAGTAAGAAAAGGCTTATCCATATAAATGGTGTGCTGCAATAATTTTGCATGAATTTTATTCGAAACAATTTTGGCGAATATAAAAATAGCAATCATCTCCCAAAATAAGTCTTGAACACATCATTAACCGATAAGAACTATACTCAGCAAGCCACCAAACAATTTGAATCTAGATTGATATACAAAACGTAGCAGTCAAAACACGATTCAGAAGCATCACATTATTAAACATCAAACCACACATTTGAAAAATAAACCATATTGATTAGACAAAAAATGTTTTATTACTATGTTGCATCACCTCATATTTAGAAAATAAGATATTCAGAAGCCAATCAAAAGCACTTTTTGATTTTCATGGAGCACTCGGTGTCTTCTGTAAATGAACTGTCCTCGATAGAGATGCATTTGAATTTCATGAACCTATTTTGCTTGTGGCTCCTTCGTTCGTTGCACTTGAAACTCCAGAAGACCCTGAGCGGTCTTCATCCCAAGGTACTATTCTAGGATTTTAACACAACATTTGTCGTTCACCTCCAACACATACTTCATTATCACTCATTGTGTATTTGTATTTTCAATACAACTTATTCCATATCAGAGAAATCTAATAGAAAAGAAACGAACAACTTGCTTTATAGCTTTCACGAGCAAAATAATTGATTTAAAATTGTTGCCACACATTCCCATAGTTTTTCTCAAGCAGAGGAAATTCAATTCTTTAGCTCCCTATATGAGTCATCCATAGTTCTTTATTGTAGTCTTTGTTTTGAACTCCAAATAGAATTATCAATTCAATTCTAAAATCTCCTAATTTGAAACTTTCATTTGAATTCCAAGAAATCCCAATTTCAAATCATAGGTTAAACTATTAAAATTCTTAATTAACATAATATTTACCTATATGAAACGACGACATATATAGATCTGACATCAAAGGTAAATAACCAAGTTAACATAAGGGAATCATGGAAGAACGTTAATGGTATACAAAATTGAGATTTTTCTGCTTAAAATTGAGACAAGACCTTCGCCAAATTTAAAGAAAATAAACTCCACTCGCATAATCAAATTAGAAATAAATGAAGCATAGTTAAATAATTTATGTTGCTGCTTCTCAATAGTTGAGACCACTAACAGGGAAATTACAAACTTAACCGATGAAAACATTGAATATTTGAAGTTTTGAATTTTTTGACGCCAAATCTGGCTTTCTCTGCTTTTGTAGCTTAAGATATCAATAAGAAATTCACACAATACCAATTAAATAAAATGACCAGTGAAGGGAAACATATTAATGAAATTGGTTACCATTTCCAACATTCATTGTGAAGATCCTATCTTTGCATCTGAAATCGAATCGGCACACACAACCATCCTAATATTTTACAAAAAATATCAGCAAGAAATGGATTAAATAAATAATAAATTAACAGTCCGGAAAAACAGCACTTTTAGTCCCTGTGTTAAGGCTATATTCTTATTTTAATCCTTGTGTTATCTACCTTAGCACTATTAACCTTCAATTATATCAAGTGAGTGATTTTAATCCCTCAACTAACAGATCCAAAAAAATTATCAGAGAGTTCACAGCTAAAAGGCACAATTCGGATATTTAAAAGTTATTGCTTGAGAAATAGAAAACTTAAAAAAAATATTTGCTGCATAACCTAGTTCTACACAACGAAGAAGTCTCGATCTATTTGGTGTGGATGTGCAATGGAATTGCGTTCTAAAAGTGAGTTGCAATCCACTCCATCAATTACCTTATAGTAGCTCCAAGCCTCCTATATATCCAGATGGAGCTCTAAAAGATAGGGACGATCCCTGCAGAAAGCCACTTTGGCAGATGACAAATAAAAAGTTCAACAGGACCAGTTATTGTAGAAAGGTAACAAGCAAATGTTTTCTTGCTCATTTGGATCTGTTGTAAAATTATGCTTGTAAAGTGGTTCAAATCCATTCTCTGCCAATGCCTTGGCTGTCAATTACACAAATGTAAGATTATGAAATTCATTAGTAATTATTTTCTAAGGCTCATTTATAACTGCAAGTCTCAATCAAACGATTAAAACGGAAAAGTAGCTTTGAAAACTACACATATATCTTGCCATTTGGACATGGAAAGTAGCGATCGGGAGATCAATTCATTTAGTCGATTAAAAAGGGATGATAAATTTACTTTCTTTGAATTGTTTGAGTAACTTAGAAATGGCCAAAAGGTGCAGCAATACTTTAATAAAAAAAATCCCCATCTATGAATAGAAAAACCTAGCTCAAAATTATGAAAAATCGAGAAGAGACAACGAGAGTTAAATAAATAAGAGCAGCAACATACCATGAATCACAAATACATTGTTGATGTTTCAGTAGATCCAGGTGGATTTTGTCCAAGTGTAGCTTAGATGACTTCGAGTTCGTCGGACAAAGAGAGAAGTCTCATGCCTATAAGGCGGGTTTTGTTCAAATGAGCTATCGTTCATCAGTGTGGGGGAGGGAGGGTTAATGCCTATTAAGTTAGTTTTGTTGAAAATGTTGCTCAGATCGATGGGCTTGTTCTTCAAGATAGAAACAGGGAAGGCTTGAGCTTGTTCTTCAAAGAGAGAATTAAAATGAAATATCCAAATTGCCCCTTTTAGCAGTGAACTTTTTGTTGATTTTTTTTGGATCTGTTTGTTTACGGATTAAAATCACTCACTTGATATAATTGAAGGTTAATAGTGCTAAGTTAGATAACACAAGGACTAAAATAAGAATATAGCCTTAACACAGGAACTAAAAGTGTCGTTTTCCCTTAACAGTCCAATGTAATGCATTTTCAGTTGAATTTCAATCATAAAATTGAAAATTCAGCAGTCAAAACAACTTCGTAAGATCCATGCTTCATCTGAGTGTCTAATTAATCAAATCAATGTGATTAAACAAAATAGATTCTAAGAAGAAAAGTGAGATATTATACAGAATAGAATTCACCTTAATTGCGACAACGCAATTTTGGAAGGTTTGTGAGAAGAAATTCTTAATCATATTTCTCTTGTTCGTGAGAGAGAGTTGTGTTTACTGTTTAGTACTCCATCATGTTTAATTGGATGATTACAAGTACACGTGGTTTAGAATACTACAATACACTTGTTCTATCATCTATCACTACAACAAAAGTGATCTTTAGTGGCAATAAATTCTTAATTACCGCTAAATATATTTTTTTAGCGGCACTTAACACTCTTTTTATATGTCTCTAAAACCTTTAGCGACATTGGATCTAATGACACTTAATTAATGCCGTTATAGACTTCAACACTCTTTATTAATATATTTATTTATTACCGCTATTAATTATTTTTGTTATAGTGTATGTAGAGGAAAAGAGTACACGTGGTTTATGTTACTACAATCCATGTGCTTTATGAAAAGGATGAGTACAATTTAGGTTGCTTTTCGTACAACACTTTTATGCTGTGTTGGTACACCATAAGTTTCATTTCTAAATAAGAGTAATATTTATATATAAGAGTAGGGTTTCCCTTCTTCTTTTTTTGTATACGTGTGTGTATGTAGTGGGGTTGTGGTGGGTATTGTTTTTCTTTTTTGGCAGAATGGGTGTGTGAGTTGGGAATTGGGATAATGGCAGTAAATGGGATAATTGGAAGGTAAGTGGGTGGTGGTAATTGGCAGGAAAAGTGGGGTGATAGGGTAGGTTTAGGTTATTATTTTTTAAAATATAATATAATTGTTTGCAACAAATTTTAAAGTGATAGAAAATAAATTGCAATCACAAAAAAAATATGAAGAAATATAATTTTATTCATCAAAATTGCGGGTACAATTCTATTCCTCCCTTGATTCTCCTCTCATAAAATTTATCCATGATTCAAGGGTCGTTAGTGGCGTATTTCTAGAACTAGGATGATTTAGATTCGACCGCTATATGAATATTCCATCAATTTGCGGAATATTCAAGATCTTGATCTCTTTATGAAATTTTCAAGATGCCTTTTAAGAGAATTTAATACTCTTTATATATGCATAAACTAGGGTTTAGGGTTTAGTAGTGTCACGACCCAGACCGTCGTGATTGGCACCCACACTAACCCTCCGGTGGGAGAACCATTACTACAACTCAAACTAATAAATTTTATGAAAACTAAGGTATTTAAAGATACGGAAGTAGGTTTAAATGCAGAAATTATAAAGAGTTCCCATAAACTCCAAAGGTTTAAATAAACTAGTCAAACTAATGCGGAAGAACAACCCCTAGAACCTGAAAGTCAATGTACCAAAACTCTACCAATGACATGTCTAAGAGCAAGGGGTACAACCTCGAAACTAAACAACACCTTAACAAATAGTTTGAGTCTGAAAAGAGTGGACTTAAACAAGGAAGATCCATGGCAACCTGAAAGAACTGACTCACCCTTGAATCCGGTCACGCTCAATAGTCACCTGAAGATGCCCTGTACTCAACAAAGAAAGAGCAAGTGCAGTATCAGTACACACAGTGTACTGGTAGGATCACACGGCTATCCCAATAAGTGAAACACATGCAAGTAATCATAACATTATAAAACAGGCATATATCGAACATATACAATATTAGTCATCTTTTCAGGATCAATGTAGCATCCCACATTCTCAATAATACACATTGGTTATCAGTTTAGAGCAACATACAGTCTTCCAATATTAATCATCATTAGATATGAACGTAATCATCACAAGTAGATACACAACATAATTCAATGGTCCTCTCATGGAACCCAATTCAATGGTCCTCTCATGGAACCCACACCCAAACTGTTAGCATACCGGAACGTGGTATCCGATCCAATGTATATGCCGGAACGTGGCAACCGATCTCATATTTATGCCGGAACGTGACAATCGATCCCAGTTAGAGTGTCGAATCGTGACACCCGCCCATTCAACAACCGACAGTCACAATCACAATGTATATTCTCACAATCATATAACAAGAGGTGATTCATGGCATACAATTATTAAATTATCCTCATTTACAATTAGGGTGATCAATAATGCAACATTCACATACATACATGCATTATAATGAAACAATTACAAACATATATCACACCAACATGAAATCACAACCATCATCTACCTCGAAACAAGCTTGAAACCCTAAGAAACTTGGTTCTTCCCTCTCTGGATTCGTTCCACTATTTCTTGGTCTCTACAAACAATCAATATAATACGGGAATCAATAAACAATCACTAATTACCCTAATTACTAACAATTCTAACAACCCTAGATCATACCCATGATCCAAAGTATTCAAAATAGGGTAGTTTCCACCATAGAATCTAGATCAAAACCCTCTCCATCAATAATTACCCATTCTATTAACGTTCTATGGATCGAAAAACGGATTCAGGGAGCGAAAAACTTACCTTTAGCCTCAAGAATAGTGGAAAACTGTTAAGAATCGCCTGGGGTTCGTTCCTTAGCTCTAAAAGTAAAAAAGTGCATAATAAGGTCATTTAGGGGTTTATTTACGACCTTAAGTCGCATCGAATCCGCCACAACGACCCTCACTCCGCTGCAGCGGCCCCGCCAAAGCGACACAAATCCCGCTAAAGCTGCTTGCACGGAACCAATGAGCTATTTTTATAATTCCAAGACCCCCATTTCACCACACACCTCTAACCAACGACGCTCAGAAAATACCCTTTAAGCTAAGGTCGATTCCGGGAGTTCTACTCACCCGAATTCAATTCCGTAAAATCGTACGGGTTCCTTAACAAGTTATCTAACCACTCATATAATCAAAATCATAAATAATTCACCCAATTGTTACCAGATTTCCCTACACCTTTATGACTCCGATTTCATCCAAATCTGGACTAGGCTAGGAAATCCAATTACTACGAAAAAGTTTTCCGGCCCAAAAAATTTTCTCGTTGGATTTTCTATAACGACGGAATCAGATCGTTACAAGTAGCCTCTGAGAATTCTAATTGAAACTGAACACAACTTCTAGAGTCCCAATTCGCCTTGAATACGTCTTGTAGAATCCCACAAAATTTCAGTGTCTACAAATGCCCCCTGCTTCAAGGCTTGTCGGAGTGTAGACTTGATGAAACTCAAAGACGAGGCTTGAAGTACTCATTCTTCCACCTTTGCAGCTTCAGATTTTTCAAATTTTGATTTATGAGAGAAGAGATGAAGGGCAGATTTGGTCCCACTGGGCGTGCCGATTTGTTTGCAACAATTTTTAAAGTGACAGAAAATGAATTACAATCACAAAAAAATATATGAATAAACATAATTTTATTCATCAAGATTGCGGGTACACTTCTGTTCCTCCATTGATTCTCCCCTCATAAGATTTATCCATGATTCGAGGGCCGTTAGTGGCGTATTTCTCGAACTAGGATGATTTAGATTCGACCTCTATATGAATATTCCATCACTTTGCGGAATATTTAAGATCTTGATCTCTTTATGGAATTTTTGAGATGCCTTTTAAGAGAATTTAGTACCTTTTATATAGGCATAAACTAGGGTTTAGGGTTGAGTAGCCTCTGAGAATTCTAATTGAAACTGAATACACCTTCTAGAGTCTCAATTTGAATTGATTACGGCTTGTAGAGTCCCACAAAATTTCAGTGTCTACAAAAATAATATATATATATATATTATATAAAAGAAAACCGTAGACCCGCCTACGTGGCACCACCACAAATTAGGATTCCCTTTTAATTTATTTTATTTCCAAAATTAGCCTTCATCTTTTATGAAAAGTTGTGACTTTTATGAAAAGTTATGACTTTTATGAAAAATCGTGACTTTTATGAATAGTTGCGACTTTTATGAAAAGTTGTGACTTATATGAAGGTTGTGAATTTTCCAAAGAGTTGTGACCTCTCTGATAAGACACAATAAGCATTTGTTTACACTACCCTTTGTTGTCTATAAATAGAGGAATTTCCTCTCATTTTAAACCAACAAAAAATTTGAACTTCTTCTTATGGACAATTAAATATATGTGTACTTTAATCATGTTAAATGACTCACTAACACCATTGTTTTGTTTTTCCGTTCTGTTTCATTTTATTGTTACAAATACTGGTATGTTTTTACAGTCATTAATTTATGCTTATATTATTAATTTTTATTTTTGAGTATATGATTTAAACTTTATTGTTTATGTATTTGCAAAATTATTGTTATAAGTATTTGTTAGTACATATTAAATAACAAACGTTAACTGAATATTCAAGCAATTTGTCTCTACTGGAACTCTTGAAGGTACAATAAAAAAAAACCTCACAAATCTCTAATTTCTTCATCAACAACGTCATTCCTTCACATACAAGGATGAGATTTTGTGTTCTTTAGAAAATCCTCCGAGAGTTAATAACTTTGCATGCCCATATTTTTTTGGTTTTTCTGTTGTTGTTATTTATTTTTACAAAATTTTATCAGTGGATATTATGAGTACTTCAAGAATTGAAATTTGATTGAAGTGTTAGTGAATTTTTTGAGGTATGTTATTTCAAAACATATGAACTTTTCTGGTTAGAATGATTTGTTATCATCATTGGATATCTCGTAGTTTACTCTCTTTAATGTATATTTTTATCTCACTGTTTTTTGATCTCCTTAAAATTGTATTGATTATTTTTTGTTTGGTATGTATATGATCTCACTTGGACAAA